CGCCACCTACCACACTTAGACCCATGAGCAGGTAACTTCCAACTGTTGCCCAGGTCAAGAAACAACTCCTCCAGCCATCCTGGAAGCCACATCAAGTGCCTCCCCCCCAAAAGTAGCCAGTACCTTTTATAGTGACAACTTTCTTGTGTTTTATAGTTTTATTCCCAAAGTATGCATCAATATTCACTATAGTTTAGTCCACCACTTAAAAACTGATGTCTTTTAAATCTGTCAGTTATTTCTTTAAAAGCTTTGTACCAGTGCTGGTGACAGGAGTCGCCACCATCTTTCCCCAGAAGCCTTTTGGCGAAGTCAGCTGGAATCAGTGATTACTTTCTCAGTAGAATTTTTACTTGATTCCCATAATTGTTTCAATAGTTTCTTTTTTTCTAGAGTTTCCTTTGCTCTTTTTTTCCTGTCTTGCTTTTTCTTTGCTGCCTCCCGTTTTTCTTTGTAAATAGGACTATTTTCACCATTGTAGAAAACATCCACTTTCTCTTGTAGGATTTTCCGAGCGAGCTTTCTATTGTGATCAACAGATCTTGTCTGATGGCACTGCAAGAGATAATGTTCCATGATGTGAAAATCATAGGTGTCAAGAGATGGAAGGACCTGTGAGAAATCTCTGCCCTTTATGGTTCAGTCAGGCCAGGGAGGCACAGCACTGGCCAGGAGTTCCCCTGAGTCTGTGACAGTGAATACCATATTCTTCCTGCCTTTGCTCTAGGTCTCTGCCCCTTCTCACACCCCAGCTGAGTTATGTGACTTTCACTGTGTCTATTTTATAGTTGTTATTATTTTTTTTTCTTTTTGGTACTAGGGATTGAACCCAGGGTCACTTATCACTGAGTCACATCCCCAGCACCTCCTTTTTTTTTTTTTTTTAAAGAGATGGATCTCACTGAATTGCTTAGGGCCTTGCTAAGTTGTTGAAGCTGGCTTTGAACTTGTGATCCTTCTGTCTCAGCCTCCTGAGCTGCTGGGATTACAGGCATGTGCCACCATGCCCAGCAGTTATGTTATTTTTGTTTAGAAGCAACAATAGCCTTTAAACAGCTTAAGCCCCCCACCCCCCAAACTGTGAAAACATTAACTGATGATCTGGCTGTGTCCAGGGAACAAACCCGTGCATCATCTATATGCACCATTTGTAAGCTAAAGACTCTATCTAATAGAGGAAAATACTATCTTTATTATTAGCCAATCACAGCATTCCTTATATAAAGGCATTGTCATTACGGGCAAATAACTTGCAAAGCTGGTTGACAAATGAAATACTATGAAACAAGAGTGAAAGAATACCAGAAGCAAGCCAGAAGCCACATGAAGTAGAGAGGCTCAACAAAAATTAATGATACAGGTTTTCAGAATTTCATTACTTGTGAATGACAGTTTTCCTTAGGAGGAAAAGAAAAGTGATTTGAGCTTTTAACTGGTATGCCCTTGGCTTCTGAAGTTGGCAGTAAAGTGTAGCTATCAGGAACATGGACCCTGGATTCAGTCAAACCTTGGGCAAGTTATGTGACGAGCATGGGGTTGTGGAGATGGAAAAAGTCAGTGTGTATGTACAGTTGCTTATAAGAGTGTCATGTGATGTGTGGGTATTTGCTACTAGTACCTGAGGACGACTCATTTGCCCCTGTGCTAGCTCTCTCTAGTGCCCTCCAGGCTGGTGTTGCTTTGGGGCCCTCTAGTGATAGACGTGTGGTAAGATGGGCTGGCAGCTCCAAGACCAGACCAGGAGACAGGTGAGAGCACTTCACCACTTGCTAGAGGTTCAGGACTGGCTGAGAGCTGGTGGTATTTTTGATTTTTTTTTTTTTTTTTAAATAAGGAGATGCCTACAGGCAGCTGTACGGAGCACTTTTTCTTCTGAGGCTCAACATGATTTGCTGGATGGGTAGGTGTCACTGACATTGACCAAAGTGGCGCCAGAAGAACATGGAGGATGTGGCCATTCATTAGCCAGCCGTCAGCTGATGGCTGCCACAGCTAGCAGGCAGCATGGGCCCACTTGCTGCCCCTCAGAGACCCAAGGCCACAGCAGTGCCATAGGTCTCTGGTCACCAGTAGTTAGAGTGGATTTGAAGGAAACACGCTACCCAGGGACCTGCCTTTACCAGCCACCACCACTTTGCCTGGTTGAGATGCTGCTGTGTAGGCAGCAACCAGACACCACCAGTGCTGCCTGCTAATTCAAGGATGGCACTAGTACCCTGGCTCCAGAGGGTCCTGGAACCAAGATTCTAAGGCTGCATGGGGAAACTGGCCCAGGGCACAGGGCAGATCTTCTGGTAGAGGATGGCCCATGCCAGGATGAGAATGCCCTCAGCAAATACCACCTGCACTTAGGAGAAGCCCACTGTGGCTGCAGAGCCCCTGGCCTCTCCCCTCTACCTTGACAACGATGCCAGAGGGGATATGCTTCAGCACCACACAGTTGCTGGTTTTGTTGGTGGCTTGGCCCCCTGGTCCGTGTCCTTTCACAAACTGCTCTTCAAGTTCATTCTCATCCAGGGGAAGCAGAGCAGGACAGTCCTTCTTGCCTGCCATCTGGACCACCGTGGCAGCTATTCCTGGGGATAGCAGCTTCAGCTTCTCCCAAAGCCCAAGTCCCCGAGGCACTGCGCATAGTCTGGTCAGTGGTGCAGGAAATCGGAATAAACCTGAGATGCTCATAAAGGATGTAGCTGGGCTTATTCAGGACCTAAAATGGACAAGGAAAAAGACCGGCTTTTCAGGAAGATGCCTTTGCTCTGAAGATGGCAGAACAAGTTCTAAGGCAGCCTTTAATACAACTCAAATGATGACCCACCCTACCTGAGAAGAGATGAGCCACTTAGCACCTGCATCCAGCTGGCCTTGCCCATGGTGTCCTCCCCAGTCCATCCCTGCCAGCTAACAAATATCTCCTCCTAACAGGCCAAAAATATCTTCAAAGCACCCAGAGGTGCTGTTCTCTCAGGAAAGAGAGGTTTGAGTGTGAAATTCAAAGGAACAGGGACATAACTTGATAATTATTTAAATAGCACATGAGGCAAGGATTAGGATGTTAATCAAATGACAGTATTTAAATGTCTGTGAATTTGAAATCAAAATGTAAAGATGACAGTATGACTCCATTTTAGAGCTGAGCTTAAACAGTCTGACACAGTAAACTTCACTATCAATCAATGTCATGATTGTTGTTTTTCAATGTTTCCAGTTTCATGAATTTGAATAAGAACATCTGTTCCCCTGGACACACTGCCAATAATGTAATCCAACTGGTCCTCATTGCTAGGACTACCAAATCAACCAAGTTTCATTAAGGTGCCTGTGAAATTTGAAACCGCATGTTCAGTGTAGTGAGGGTTAGGAGATGAAAAAGAGATGGCCTCTGTCTTCATGGGGCTGACAAGCTAATATGAGAAGATATTTAAAAAGCAAGTGAGAGTTGAGATGCTGAGGACTGAACACAGGGCCTCCTGGTGCTGAGCACATGTTCTACCACTGAGCTACATCCCCAACACTGGGAAAGTGGGAGAGGGAGGAGAGAGAGAAATGTGGGCTATCTCAAGACACAGACATTTTGGGGGTAAAGAAGTAAGAAAAGTACATTGTTCAATATGGAGGATGCTGGCCATCTTGAGTGAGAAGCTTTTTGGGTGAAGCAAGGAATACACAATTAAGGGAGAATGAGGGTCATTTAGAGATGTAGAAACATAAATAATAAAATATTTAACTACTTGAGATAGAGCATAAGGTTGAAATCACTTAGCTGGTAAATGAACATGCAGGAATATCAGCTATGAGGTGGTGGTGAATCCCACAGGCCTTTGGTTTTTTCAAAGGGACAAACGCAGATGAATCTGGTCTCCCCAAGAACAGGGAGAGCTATAGCCCTGGGCCTGAGTTCTAAATTGGAAAATGGGTGAATTAGCCCTTCTCCACCCATCCCACACAGGCACAGAAAAGACCAGAAAACAAGTGTTCTGGAGAGGGCTCTGTGGGTGCCTTCTTTGTTTAAGACAGATTTATCAGCCAGGTGAATGGTGGGAACTGCAGCTCTCACGCTTGCCGACGGTGTACTCGTTGGGAGACAAGGTAGTGAACAGAGGCGCTGCTCTTTGGTGACGACCCTGCCAACTCTCAGGGGTGGGTCACTGCCCAAGCTCTGCCCTCAGCCTGTTCACCTTCCCCACACTGTCAACTGTGCCTGCTGACATCACTGAGCACACTTGGAGCTCTGGAGGAGTGTTGCGGGGGAGTGACCCAGGTGCTTTTCCTATTACTGAGTGACCAGTACCATTGACACTGAGATGACACTGGTCATCTTTGAATGACAAGACAATTCCCTCATCTTTACCTTTGCTGTTTATGTGGGACTATAATTAGAGACCTCACACGACAGGTTTTCCAACCTTCTGCTCTGCTAGTTCTCAATTCTATGGGTTATACGCATGTCTTCTTGTGGTGACCATGGCATGCTCAGTATCAGTAGGCAAGGAACTCCTTGGCTGTGGAGGATATGTTTTGAAAGAGTGCCAACGAAAATGCGGCTTTGAAAACTGGTTTTGTTTAATGTATGTGAAATATTTTACAAGTATCCTCAAGAAAAAGCCAGAAACATCCTCCACAATCTCTTCAACAATGGACTATGCGTGGTAGAGAGTGGACGAGTCCATGTCCACAGTTCCCCCTCCCCCGTTTTTGCTCTCCATCTGCAGAACAAAATTCCTTTGTGTGTCAGCAGCTTCTGGACCCGAGAGTGGATTCACTCTGGAACATGAGCCCAGAGCCTCTCTGGGGTTTCTCTTCCGCTCATTTGTGAATTGGAGGAGGCAGGACAGCACTGGTAGATGGTGCTGCGACAAAGAGAGGAAGACGCCTAGACAAGGCGAGGCCCAGACAAAGCAGGCAGTGGAGAGATTTCAGAGCTGCTTTGTTACAGACTACTGTTCAAACCTTGGCTCTTCTGTCCCAATTCAGAGCTGACAGATATCCTGGAAGATCTCCCACCCAAATGAAGTTCAAGAAGGTCCTCAGTGTTTGGTTACTGGCTGCTTCGCTTAATGGTTAATTCCAATAGCCAATAAGACAATTCTAGACTCTTCTAGTATATCCTGGAGCTTTGGCCCTATTCCAATGACTGCTAAAAGCGACAGTCCCCTTTCCCAACACCCAAAGAATATGGATTGGATTTCAGTTTTTGTGATATACACAGAGCAATCTAAAGTTTTTGGAGAACAATAAAACAGCTCAAATTATAGCTCATCATGACATTAAAAAAGAGAAAGAGAAAAATGGTAAAAAGAAGTGCGAGTAAGGAGAAACCAACAGTCACAACAGCTTTGCCCTCATTCTGGGAGTGTGGGCTCTAACTGAGGGCCGGCTTTGTCCCCACTTCTCTCTGCTCTTCCTGAGATAGCTTTCACTCTTAAACAGCTCATCAAAGTTTAGAGTAAAGCCCTTAGTCCATTTCAACTCAGAGATGACAGGTTTGAGGACTTCACAAAAGGAAATGTTAATTTGTCCAATAAATATTTTAATTATCTACTGAGTTTAAGGCATAGGTCTCAGGGAGCCCAAGGAGCCTATATCATAAAACAAAAATTAAGACATCTATAAAAATGATTCATGCCATAGCCCAGGACAGACAACATGCTATTGAGCTGTAGTTCTCAAACTTTAATACGGCCCCAAATCACTTGATAACAAATCACTTGTTATCAAGACATGGAAGCTGCATTCCATTAAGTTGCGCCTGTCTTCATCACTGGATCCAGAGAGCACATCCCCTCCTCTAGCTCCACAATCAGTTCAACACAGGAAATACAGCTAGCTGCAGGGATATAGGCTCAAGTCAGCACCAAGCCCAGAAGGGACTGTCTGAGGTTAGAATTGGACGCAGGAGGCAAGGCCATGCCACCAACAACTGCACTGCTCTGGGGAGGGTGGAGGGTGGAGGTACCTGCTGCTCCTTTAGTGTCCCTAAGACAGACAAAGCTATTTGATTTGAATCTGTTTTTAGAAAAGCACAAGATTTTGATCTCTGGACCTGTCTTCTAGATACTGTTTATTTAAAATTCACTATTTTAAGTGTTTTTCTTAGGAAGGGAGAGTACTGGTTTCCCTTAGTCACAACTTTCACACTCTGCAGCCTTGCAGAATCAACTGAAGGAGCCGATGTGGAGACTTACTGGAACAGGATGCTTGAAGAGAGATGTTCACAGCCAGGCTCACCACTCAAATTCCAATTCTAATGCGCCCCCTTCTCCACCCAGGAGTCTTTCTAAATCTGACGCTGGTTTTTCAGTGGGGTACAAGGCCTCAGATTCTGTTTTTCTTTTTCTTTCTTTTTTTTTTT